CATCGCAGAAGATGATCTCTTCCGTACAATCCTCCTAAACCGTCATGCCCATCGTGTGGCTCGCAGAGAACTCCTCGTCTTCATTCAACACCACGTTGGCCGCAAGAGCGCAACGCAAGAAATATCGAATTCAACATCTGTCGCCTAATGACTCGGAGCCTCTTAACGGCTTGTAATCGTTCCATGAGCTCACTCTTGTTGCGGGTGGTAGAATGACCCTATGCTTTAAGCTCCTTCTTTAGATCTAGCGCCTTCATCGCTGCCATTTCCCCGATCGGAGATCGGGACAGCAAGGAACAAGTAGCGTCAACTGGGATCAAATATCAGGATTGCCCCCCTGGAATATCCGATAGCAATAGCGCAAGCTTGCATGCGGTGGTGCAAGCATGCACTATCGCATGATTGCGCCACCTCTTCATTCATTCATTCATTCATAGCTTTATTTTCAAAACCTTATTTAAAATATACAAAAGTTGTTTGGGGCGTGAGCGGCGGGTTATGGCAGTCCTCCCATGAAATCCCATGCATTTAATCCGAAAAGACGATAATACCAACTTAACGTTCAACTTTTAAACATTTGTCTGCCATACTACACCTCTAATATACAATATTTCCTCAATTGCTACTTAAAAGTGCCAAGATTATAGCGTATAGACTGAAGGTTTTCCAGTCAAATAAATGTTTAAAGTACTGGCACCACACATAGTGTCCTATTTAATCAAAGTGTAAGATGTATTCGCAGACAAAAAAAAAAAAAAAAACTACATCTAATTTTATATTTTGAGTAAATTTACCCCTATATTAAGGTAAATTAATGATTTCAAAACTGTTATTTTGTATGCAAATAAAAAAGAATTAAGACATTTCGGAGGTGCGTTCTGAAAATTCTAGACAAGCAGACACACTTATACTCCCGAAATTTATAAATGCGACAAAGTGCAGGGTTTTACATTCAACTGGAGCAACCAAGGAGAATCAGTTCGTAATTGTTTTACCCTCAGAGCTATTTGCTTGGGTTCCTGTGGTTTACATTTTCAAATCAGGTTCGTTCGTCCTCATTGAGCCAGACGTTAAGAATAATTTCCGGAATTATGTCACATTACATTAGCAAAAAGAAGATATAATTTTCTATTTATATAATTCCGTGCAGTAAATAAATGTTTCAAAAATATTCTCATGTATTAATCTTTTTTTTTACTGTTGATGACAAAGCTATTTTAACGTAGAGGAAAACATTTCGGTTTATAAACGTCTTGATGGGGCTTAACGTACTTGGTCATTTATTGTTCAGATCTGTTAAAATTAATAATATAATCATATAATAATATGTATACTTAATATTTACTACCTCTAAGCCAACAGAAAAAAAACCTCCGTGGAAAGGTTTTTAAAGGAGTAAAGTATCATACTTGACATATATACCATTCCGCAGGGGGCTAAATTCCAAGGTTTTCGCCATATTCCTAGTTTGCAGTAAAGGAACCGAAATAATGTATCCCCTCCACCAATGGGGAAGTCGGTAAAGCACAAAAGGTAACCGGACGAGTCACAGCAGGCCAGAGTAGAAATGAGCGAAGGCTTTAGAGCGGCTGAACCAAGATCGCTTTGAGACGGGTTTTCCAAAAAAAGTACCGCTTTTTAGTACTTCCCACAGCCCAGATTGTAAGAAAAGAACAGTAATTTGATATTCACCAACAACCAACTACGTGCAAACAGAAAAGTAACACTGATATAAGCAATTAAATATTTAGCGTCTGTTGCAAGCTCAAGAAGTGTGATCCTTCTCCTTCGGGGAAAATGTAAACATGTAAATATGTAAATACCACGGCATGTACATCTCAAAAAAAAATCTGTGGCTGTGATGAAAATAACCATTAAAAAAAATTAAAAACAACGACGAAATAAAACTATCTCTACTTCCTACTAAAATGAAATAAGAAGACAATCAATAAATAAAATGAAAACATACGTGACAGTACCAAGATCAGCATATATACATAATTAGGTAAAAAACATTAAAGATAAAAAGATTTAAAAAAATTTTACATATTCAATCTCGTATATATTCTAGTACAAAAATGCTAAGCAAGAACAAGACAACTTCCTCGTCGTCAAGTAAACAAAAGACGACAGGCAAGACCAAGCGGAACAACAATTAATACATTATTACCAAAGAAAAAAAACAAATGCTCATAAATGCCTGCAAGATTTTTCTAAGTTCGTTCCATTGCCAAAATTCAGCTCTAAAGCATGTTTCTCTTTTTGATTGGCTTTAAGAACTAAAAGTTTGGCCAATTTGGGCCCTAATTTTTTTATTTGGATTAAACATATACGTCAGGTGGTGCAGGTACAGAAAAACAGTTGATTTCCTTTCTTTAGTTCTCAGTTAGAAATTGAGAAATTGAGTGATTTCATATTTCTCCAGCACTTGTGAACTCAGTTGATCTCGAAAGGTTTTCTTATGGGTCGCTTGCGAACAAATTTAAAGAGATAATAGAATACACAGAAAGAATAAAAGAGATGAAAAACGAACACAGCCAAATAATAAAACGCGTAATTGGTGTGAAACTGCGGACGGTTGGTCTGCAATTTTAAACCGTTTATTTTAAGAGCGACTCCTTTTGAACTATTCTCTGTAGAGTATTAGCACGTTCTGGAGGGCGTTAACCTTATATTCCTCCCTAAGTTGGTGACGGAGTTGTTCTCAAAAAGATCCCTGGCGAGGAGCGGGTGCCCCAATTTCAAAGCGCAAACTTATCTGTAAAAACAGCCGAAAAATCTGTGAGACCGATGTTCTCAAAAACGACTCATTTTTAAAAAAAGTTCCCTGAAGCGGCGCAGATGTCTATATTTGAAACTGTGGCCAAATGTACAGAAAAAATGTGACCAGCGAAAAAAAAAGGAAACAATGTTTTTCTTTTGTAGGTGATAGTTCCGTTTAATTGTTTTTGTTTTGTTTTGTTTGTTTTGTTTTGTGAAATGGGAAGGAGGGATTTTAATGCTTATTGTTGTTTAAAGGTCAATATCAGCGTTTTGAACAAAGGGAAGTTGGTGATGATTGCATCAAGAATGACTGTGGACATTTCTACGAGGCCATTTGGTGGCTGATTTATATGTTTTAAAAGTCCAATCGTCGCATTGTGAACGAAGTGTATGTTCGGGAGAGGAGTTGTCGGTGTCCATCGGGAGTGACAAAAAATAAACGATTTAGCTGCATTTGAAAGGTCTTCTCCGGTGCCCTTTTTCTTCGACTTTTAAGTTTCCGATTTTGTCTATACCCGTAAAGCCCTCGGGTTTTAAACATCATGACTAACTATCAACAGCTCGCCTGCACAATCCCTGTATTTTCAACACCCATTTCTGAAGTTGCTGCACTTTGCATGCGGCTTTAATTTGCATACTGCGTAAACGTTAAAGGTGAATACGCCAGTGAGGGGACAAATGGGTGAACTAGAAACGCCCGTCGCAAATTTCTGGCGATACAAGAGAAACAAAAAGGGGACAGGATCAAGAGACACGGCTACACTTTTTAGACACTAAGACCAACCATCAAGCGAGATAGTTGAGGCGATAAATTGGAAAAAGAATAATAAGTGATCCACTTTTGTAGCTAACTTCCTATAGTTCCGCTAGATAATGAGATGTCATGTTTCAGATTTGGCATAGTTTTCGTTATCTTTCAACTAAGTTCATTTTGTTAACGTTGCCTCGAGCTGGAAAATTAGAATTACGTACTCTAGTGTCAGGATACCAGATATCATAGTAAAGAAAAATTAAGAAAGGCACAACGCGTATTTTTATATTCACGCACCTTGCTTAGTTATTCTTTCTGCGGAGTTTTGGTCAGCTAACGCCGCAAACTCATTTGTTTTGAAGATATATCAAGACACTGTGTTGTCGCCTCACCCTGTATTTATTTCGCTGTAAGGCACTGGGAACACACGCTCATTCACACAGATTAGAGGAGCTGTGCGTGGGTGTATTTTTCTTAATAAACTAAGCTTTTAGGGGTTGGTTTTCTTCTTTAGGTTTTTGTACTATTTTTTTTTATTTTTGCAGGGTTGATCGATGCTTTCATATACTGTGCTTCCTTTCATCATAAGTCAGAGTTCAGCCAACACTACGTAACAAAAAGTTCAGTCAATCAGCACTAAAACGCAACGTCACTGCATTCGTCTTTGTTCCCTACGGATGTTAAACCCCGCTAGGTTAATCAAGTGCAGTGAACGTGTCCTGATTCTGCGATTTTTGTTCTTCTGTGCACTTGTGACACGTACGTTTTGACGGCGCTCTAACTTGTATATACCATTACTAAAACAAAGTATAAAATGTATGCAAGCCCATTAAACAATACGTTCCTTATTTAGCAGTGTTGGGTGACATAAGGTAGCACCGTCTGTATCCGAATCTTTAAACTGAAATTCATAATTTCTCTCGATAGGAAAAAAAATACCGTTCATCGATAAAAACCTTGCTTGGTATTTCAGAAGGTGCGAAAAAAACTTGGAAGTTTCTCTTTGAGGACAGCAGCAGAGTGCTGCGAACTTCCAGCCGGCATGTGTAGGCCTTCACCAGGACCAGGAAAATGTGACGCTCCGGAGGATATGATCAAGCTATTGTCACCGATAGGTTAAGGAACGCAGGACGTGACGAGTTTTGGCTCTATCCTTATCGCTTTTCGGTGAATGCGGCATTTGACGATAAGAATGGTGGTGGGTAATCACGAATCAAAAAGCGTAAACATAATATGTCACGCCCCGCGTTTCTTAGGTTTTCAGGAACTAGCGTGATATTTTCATTATAATCGAGGTAGTGTAAAAGTGTCATTATTTTTTTTCTGAGCTGCGAAATAGTCGCAGTTACATCGCTACGTATGGTCCTTCCACTCTTCACACGCAAAAAAAAAAAAGGAAAAAAAGTGACAGTTGTTTATTCGCGGCATGAATTTGATCAAACAGAGGCAACTTGCAAAAAAAATAAAAAATAAAGCCTGGACTCACCTTTGGTTTTCGTAGCCTGAAATTCAAACAAAAGAATGCGTATTGTATCGTTAATTGAACATTATAATTTATATTCTACATGCTAAATAGTTTAAAGACACGATTTGAATTATATATTTGTGCGACTAATAATGCACGGACATATACGTGGTACATCCAGAATATAAGTTTTGCCTTTGATCTGCTCGAAATTGCCAGAAATATCAGTTCCCTCAACCTACTGTATGAATTAGTCAATGGCAACCATTCAACTACAATTTCAAAACTGCATGCAATATAATACCAATAGACGCACACGAAGCAAACGTGAGAAAACCAGGATAATGCTAAAAACAAAACAAAAACAAACATATTCTAAGTATTCGTTGATTTCTCGTAGCACTAGAGAACGAAAGAAAATACCGTTAATTATAATCAATAAAAAAAACACTCTTACCTTCGTCACTGCACTCACAAACAGTTAGTATTACAAAAGGTTAGTTTTGCTTCATTATTTCTTTATACTTATCCTATCTTCAAGCTATTCACTATTTGTTGCGTTATTTCACGCCAAGGCATTCATATCAGCGGACGTGTCGCATCCATTGTCGTTCCCGTAATAAGCTATTTACAATTTTCTTCATCAGTTTGTTATGCTATATGTTTCAAGAAGGATATATCATGCTTTTTTTAAACTTCGTCTGTTGTATTTCCTTCCCATCTTGCCATTTATACATAGTGCGTTGTAGTTATACACAATTTAATTTCACTTTGTTACGTTTACTTGCACAAGAAAACGACGCCAAAAACACACAAGGACCAAGACAATAGAGACAAGAGAGGGCGGGTAGGTGTGTGAATGAGTGTGTAGTCCACGTGTATCCTCCACGAGATGGCGCCACATGCCCGGAGTGTGCGGGGGCGCGCGCTCAGCGCGATCCCAGGGAGAGGAAGAATGGCCCTCACAGACACTCTTGCTCGTGCCGCGGGAGCTGAAGCCATGTTTAAAACCCCTTCATGTTCTAAAAGTAGCACAAGGTGCGTCGACGCTCGACGCACTTCCAACGTGCAGCCCTTGGGGAAAATCATGGCGGCACAGCGCAGCACTGTGCTAGCCTTTCAGGTGCCATGTTCTCCCCAGAAGTGACGCGCAGCGCGTGTCTCGAGCATTTCCACAATAATGAATGGCGCCAATTTTCCCAGGGTAGAGGGGCTTTAGACATGCCGGCCTGGGCCGCTCTTTTTAGGTATTAAGAAACCCAGTTTTATTTCCTCTAAACCGTGCCCGGCGTTAACAATCGTGTCCTTGAGCGTGACGTTTCCACACGACCAACAAACTCAGGACACCCTGCTGTTCAGTGTAGCAGATACTCATGCAACCTTGCCTTCAGTGACCCCAAGAGTTCGGCACGCTACAAAGGAAAATGTCGCGGGGAATTCGCGAGGCGTTTGAGATTAAAAGAGAAACGTGCATAATTGACACGTCTTTAGCCGTAAGCGCGAGACACATGCGCAAAAAGTCCATCCGATCCGACGTCCGATCCGGCAATACGACTGCCTGATCAGAGAAGTTTGGTCACTTCAGGCGTCGGATCGGCAATCCGGCGTGCGTCCAACGTGCCAGATAGTTTCGCACGGCGGACGGACTATCGGAAGCGTCTAGCCAATGGCAGCACAGCTAGCGCGAACGTCATGATGACGTACTGGGTCTGGGGGACAAACAAGAAAACGGGACTGACCTGGGCGACGGGAAGCGGGACGCGTGAATGCCGCTGACCCATTCGAGAAAGATGTTCTCCGCAAAGAATGAACGCGCAAACGAGAACGAGCTTCTAATTTCGCTCGTGCGAGCTGAACCTTCAATCTGGGACAATCTGTATAGGAACAAGGACCTCCGCTGGAGCGCTTCGATCTCCTGGGTGGAGCCGAACGGATCGTCGTGTCGCATGCAAGGTCGGAAGCGTGGGTCTTAAACTGTCGCGTGCGGCAATTCGGAGCGGCGTTCGGACTGTCGGATCGGACAATTCCGCCGTTCATGTGTCTCGCGCTTTATCTAGAAATGATTACAAAATTCGGGAGTGCGGGCTTTCCGCAATACGTAATGACTTAGCGTTTTTGAGTAGCCATATTTACTTTTCTTTTAAAATAACCTTTAGTTGAGAGTGCACGTTATTCTGTTTTTTCTTGCCATGCTGATTGTGGTATTTCGACGCTGTTTTACTTAGCTATGAAGCCACTGCCCCAAATCAAAATAATAACGTTGTCTGTGTGTCTGTACAGCCGACACTTAGTAAGCCTCAATGGGCGTCTGTTATATTAAGTGCAGATGAGAAACTTTGCCAGTGCAGTACGATCGCTTGCCTGGGGTCTTTAAAGGGTTTAAAACACGAAAATCAAAGAATAGATTATTCCTGAAATGAAATGCTCCTAGGCTACATAGTATATAACCAAGTTTCGTGATTTATAGGGATCTAATAATTGCAATAATCAATTTACGAATTTTGGTTAGTTTCATCTGGCGAACAGGCAACACTGCCCAAGTTAGTCACACCATGGTGCCCATAAAACACGTGATCATGAACGCTCTCTCATCTTAGGCATTCCCATGATCGCCGAAGCTCGCCTCGCCATGGTACGGTCAAAATCTAGTTCTCACACAACTCGGCAACTCCAACGCTACTCTCGCTTTCACCCCCGGCCCTTTGACCTTCCACCCTGCATGCACCTGCAGCGAGAGATTTCGCTCCCCGTGCTCCGAACTGATGCGTCCTAGCCCATTCGGCCCCCGATCCCCCAGGCCCAAATCGCCACTTGTACAGTCTGTAAAACAGTGTTCCCCTTTGCCCCGTCCACCGATCAGAAGCCTGGATATTGTCACGTAAATAACTGATTGAATAAATATATAAAAAGGAACTAAGAAAATGTATGTGGAAAACGTTATTTTTAATGAATTGTGCGTAGACTGGAACATTTCACGATGAAATTCTCTTCGGTGTTACGGAATATTTCACGTTGTGGCACAAGAGTTTGAATAGCCGTCTCTTAGATTTATGCAGTCTGAATCCTGAGCCAACATCTGATCAATCATTGTAACATGATTTGTTATAGTCAAGTGGTTTGTAACGTTTTTTTTAGGTATTTATTTTGAAACTTGAAGGACATATGATCTGATATAAAAAGTTTAAAAGCTCAGTTCTCCAGAATGTTTTCGTTCACTTCCTTCACCAAATTGTCCGTAACCAGAAACGCCACGGCCGCTCAATCTCATTTCTTCCGCTCTATTGAGGGGCCGTGACTCCGTACTGCATTATTGTTGCTTTCTAGCCTTCCATTACACATTCAAACCCGATACTGCATCAATCTTTTACTCACGGCGTTTGATCCATAAACCTCGCAAATTTCCTTTATGGTGCCTCTATGGGCAACATGGTGGGAAATTTGTCGCGTTCTTGGATCTTAGTCGAAATCAGCGGGACATTTTTGTTTATCACTTAAATAAAATTATTGCAAATTAGTGGAGTGATATTCTTTAATTTTACAAGTGGAATAGGGCTATGATTTCCCTAATAATGCTATTCGGATTGAAATTGCTAATATCGGAGTTTTTGAGCGCTAAATATTTTTATTTAGTTTTTCGATAATTAAAAACATATGCTCTAAAAAGCTCGTAATAGCTGAAGTATGAAAACACCCCAGAATCTTGAAAAAAATTTACAATATTGATATACTACTACACTTGACATTCCACTGCCTTCAACCGCAAATAATCCTTGTACCAAAAACAAAAATTGTAGCACGCTTTGGGTGTTAATTATATATTAACCTCTTAAACTTAATTGATTTTCCGAAATTAGTAATATGAATTGCTTTAGAAGTAATTAATACGACTTACCAAAACTGCAGTAAAGAGAAGGAAGCCATACAGCAGTGTTTGGGCGATCATGGTTGTACTGCGTGCGTTCAGCGTTTGACACCGACAACACAAGACTCGAGGCGCCAATAGAAGTCAGTCTGTGCAACCACAGTATTTATTAAGCCTCGGGCCATTGTTTGCTCCGCAGCTGTGATTTTGTTGAGAATTGACGCGAACCTGCGACCCGCGATTGCAGCCTTGCGTAACATCAAATACGTTGTACGAATCCTTGTATCTGTGCGTTTGCGTCACTTGAAATCTGGACAGAATCAATAAACTGAGAATCGTGTTTTTTTCCGGTGCTGTCAAAGTTACAGGCGGTTATAAGGCAGCGGAAACCTTACCGAGGTGGCTACCTAACACAATGCGAATACACAAAAGTATATTTCTTTTCACAGGTTCTAGCGACTGGAAGTGACCCTGACACGTTCATTTGAATATTGAAAAAATGTAAGCGGTGTTTTCCCATAAAAAGAAAACACGGTTAGACAACTAAATTTAAAGTGTCCGCTCCATTCGATGAAGGTTCCTCCTTGCTATGCTCCGTTTTACTCTAAAGACCGACTTGGAGATTCGTCTTTTGGCGGGAAAAAACAAACGGATCCCAGTTTTCCTAAGATACGCTCGTGTTTGAGCATAGCCTCCTTTATTCTTCAAAGTCTGTCAAATCGCAAAAAGACTGCTTTGAGGATTGTCGTTGTTGTTTGTTTCTGTTTGTCGCTCTAGTGAAACTCGAACATTATAGTTCGATTCATGGACAGTGTTGGCCGACTTCTATATATATAAAAAATAAGTTTTTTTCGGTAACAAATAATTCATAAAGTAAATAATTTTATATTTTATAAAAATGATTACCGATCTTCACAAAGAGAGAAAGAAACGTACGTATAAACTTCTAGCGACCAGTGTTGCGGAGTTGCCACTCCGGAGATGGATTCATTCCGGAATCATTTCGCATTTTCACGACCACGGAATGGAATGGAAATGGAATGGCGGCAACGTTGAGGGGAATGGAATGGGAATGGAATTAGGTGCCTTTTGCCCGGAATGGAATGGGAATGAAATTGAAGCACGGTTCTTCTTTTTTTGTGTGTGTGTGTGTGTGTGTGTGTGTGTGTTTACGGTCAGCTAAACCGAGCCAGTCAGTGAGTCAGTTGCTCAGAAATAAAATCAGCGGGAAACTGCTAGCCCGCGAGGAGCCCTAACAGACTTATACGCCAAAAAAATGCAATACAAAAAACAAGCGTAAAAGCAAAGAGCAAAGGGGGAAAGGGGGGTAACGTGGCGCCTTTCACGGACGCGCAGGCGTCGGGCTTCGATGGCGTTACACGAGAGCGAAACAAGAAACCAAGCACCAAGCAAAAGAAAAGGGAGTGGCAAAGAAAGAAACCGCCATGCACAACTCCTCATCGTACTTCTTGTCATGCTTTTTTTGTTGTTGTTGTGATGGTTTGTAGAATGCACGCGCGCGCAGAGACTGAGATCTGGGAGCGGAAGCGACTCATAACTCGCAGAGCTCTGATAACTCGTTGACTCGGGCGCCGTCGAAAGATGATCAGTTATTGTTTTCTTATAGTTCGAGGCGCGTTGTTTAGCAGGCAGCCAACCCTGCTGCCTTCCACGTTCATTCGTGCGCACTCCTTTGAAGTGCGAAATGTGGGTTTGCTTCGGCATTAAAACAAAGCGAGATTCACTTCCCTCTTCTCCTCTTGCGCTTTGCTCCGAGGCTTGTTTTTTTTTTTGTACTGCATTTGTAGTGTATGTCCGCCTATTACTTGGTCTTTGTTCCGATGCTTGCTTTCTGTGTTATATGTTTTAGTGGGTTGGGTTACAAGCAAGCTAGCGGATTCCCGCTCATTTCCTTTGACTTTAGTCTCTGCATACTTCGTTTCACCTTGCGATGGACCACTGCGGACGCTACGTGTCACCCTAGGGTCTAGGAAATCCAGCACCGTGACCGGGATTGCAGGGTCACGCGACACTCAGAAAGCACTGGATTGGTTTCGATGGCTCTCGTGCTGTCTGTTGAGGTCCATCGTAAGGTGAAGTAGACTATCGCCGCCGCTCTTGGCGTGACCGAACTGACTAGACTTGCAGAAAGACCGTCCCGCGCCAGACGAGGCGCGACCGTTGCTGTGAGGGCAACTGAGAAGGAGAGCTGGGTGCTAGCTGCCACTGAGGTTTTGGCTTCCGCGCGTCTCGGCTGTCCGGTCTGCATTCGTGCTCCTTGTCCTGGACCCTATTTGAGCCGGTGAGAAGTCAGTTGGACGGTGTTGATGAGGAAACACGGGGAATGTCAATTCGAACGGTGCGGTATTACCCCGTTAATTGTATCTTGATGTGAAGAGTTTTGTCAACGCTGACTTCCGGACCCGTCGCCACTACGCGAACAACCGACACCGAGGTAGAAGAATGAATCGGTTGGTAACGCCTGGTGCCTGAACCCGCCACTCGATCAGCGCGAAGAGGAACATCACAATTCGGACGAGAAGACAAGATAAATGCAGATTGAGTCATGGCATCGTAGAAGACAATTTTCTACAGTAGTCGCGAAGAAAATAAACAAGCTGCACGCTGAAAGTTGTGCAACGAAACTATACACGGTGCAGTCGGCGTATATCATCGAACTTTATTCGCCATCTGAAGAGGAAACACGAGAATGAGTATGCGAAGGGTGGAAAAGGGCAGGTGAACCAGCCAAAAATTGAATTGAATATGATAAGAGATATCGAGATTCGTAAAGCAAGCGTGAACTTATGCGTTTTAAAACAGGTTTCGTGACATGGTCTATACGGTCCCTCGCGCTGCGCCGCAGAGGTTGCATTTTGTCAGAGGATGTGTTCTGCCGCTGTGCACGGAGTCGCTTCCAGCAGTGTACTAGCCGTGTTGCTGTATTTGAAGAATACAGTAACATAGCTTATTCCTGCGCCACGCACGAACTGGATATTTTTTATGGTCTCATCAAACAAACACGCTGGCCGCGTATGTCTTAAAACTCACATGCAAAAAATTTGAAAAAAAAAAAGAAAATGAGTGGATTTAGGTTTTGCTGTTTGTAGCGAGCCACAAGGTCGCGGGACGGATGTCTTAAACAAGCATTGACATATCAAGGAGGTTTCTCGATGTTTGCAGTACATTGTAAATAAACACGTTCTGCCACCAGCGGTCCGGTTAGTAAAAATCAGTGCTTTTTCGAGGACTTTAGCTTTTTTTTTTTTGCAATTGTCTCTGCATTTGATAATGTCAGCTTTATGCCGCTTATGCCGGCAACAAAATGTAGCTGACAAGTGCCAATTTTTACGTTTAAGAATTAAAGGAATGGAATGGAACGATTCAGCCATTCCAGGAGTGGGAATGGACCCAGTGTCTCCATTCCTAGAATTTGAAAGGAATTGAATTATCGAAAACTCTAATTCCCCGGAATGGAATTGGAATGGAATGGGGGTGCCCATTCCGCAACACTGGTAGCGACCACTGAAACAGCGCGCATGAAGAAGATGGCAACGTCACTCACGAAGTGAGGTCACACGCACGCTACGCGATTCACGTCACCAGAAAGAGCGATCAGCGACGTCGGTCAAAGGCGCGCAACTGAGCAAGCCGACACCATCACAACTACGAGAACGTTCTCATATGGCAAGGAAGCTATAGTATACTTGTGTAAATAAACTACGAAGGATTAACTCCTTCAAATGAAAACTGAGTTTGTTAAAATGTTGAATTTTACGCACGGGATAATAAACGAAGAGGACGGAGCACATGGCAAGACATCTTTTATGTAGCAACAAACAATATTGAAAGAGAGCAAACGAAACATTAAGAATGAAACCTATCTGTTTATTCTTTCGGGTGTAAAATGAAACATACGCAGTTTCAATATTTTAATTCGTTTAATATTATAAACTTCATAACTTGAATCTTAAATATCCGGCGTGCTTTCGAGCTACCCAAACTAGACACGTTTGATAAAGTACTCAGTCTAATCTTGCCGGTGTTAGTGCACGCGCAGAGAAGTAGAAGTAGACGAGGAACAAGAACATCCCCACGGAGCTGGACCGATAGCTCCGTCATGTGCCATCAATTTCCTTATATAAATATGTTGAAACATATTTGTCTCGCTTTCAGAAAAGAATACTGAATTCAAACTTTGCTCGTTTGTTGTGTTAGTTACACGCTACACATGGGCGTAAAGTATGCAGTTTTAGACATACCTTTTGGCTTTCGTTTACAAAACTGCGGATTTTTCAATAATTTCAATACTGGCCATAAACAAAATTCAAAAATTGTTCGCTTTTAAAAATATCTGTTTTATAATGTGGTCCTTTATTTTGTAAATTGTGCACTATATATAACCGTTGAATATATATTTTTAGAGCGACGACATTTATAGTATATTTTGTTGAAAACTGGGTATTTTGATTGATTGCTTTTTGGGATTTTTATGGCGTACAGAAACGAAGACCATAATACGCCAAATTGCATTTGTCAGGCTAAAAAGATTAAATGAGAAGAAAAGCAACTGAAGCTAATACCCCTGTCAAACGGGCATTTTAAAGGCCTTTAGAGCAAGCTCCTTTATGAAATCGGCGAACCAGCGCACGCCGTAGGGCACGTGCGCACTCAACGTCGCGAGCAGATTGGTCGATTTCATAAAGGAGCTTAGTGAAAAGGACCTTTAGAACGCCGTCTGACGGGGGTACAAGTCAATGCTATGTTAAAAGTGGTATAAACAGCCATTTAATTTTAAAATGTTATACCAGTTATAACAGATATAAACAGCAAGCCATTTTAAAAAGTTCGGAACGCGGGTAAATGGTATTAGATGGTGATTTCCAAGTAAAAACAAGGGGTGGAATGGAAGATGACACCTAAAAAGTTTAGGGAAACACGAGCAAAGTATTTGGTGATAAACACGACAATGCAATAAGATGTCCATAGGAGTTCACACTTCTCCACACTGCTTACCTTGTTCTACACCCTTCCAACAAAGCAGGTGCGAATGTGTCAGACGGGTACGACCAATTCTCAAG